TGGGCCAGTGAGTGGGGGGCTTTGGGCCAGTGAGTGGGGGGCTTTGGGCCAGTGAGTGGGGCGGGCCGGCCGGCGGGGGGAGACAGGGAAGGGACAGGGGCTGTGCAGAGGGGTGGGCCAAGGTCCCCAGGGAGGGAGGAGTGCCAGAGTCGGGAGGGGCTGGCAGAAGAGCCAGAAAGAGGGCGGGAGGGAGGGGAAAGGGATGAAGGGGGAGGGAAGGCGGGGCTTTGGCAAGGCAGACCAGGGGCTCCTCCCACACCTCCGGTCTTAGCGTGGGCCCCTCAGTGTCCCTCCCCCCTGCAGGTGGCGGACGATGGCTACGGGGTCTCCTATATCATTGCTGGGGAGAAGCTGATCACGTTTCACATTTCCAGCAAGTTCTCCAGCCCTGAAACAGTGAGTGCGCCCGAGGAACGGCGGGTGGGCTGGGGGAGGGCCAGGGCCCGGCCCCTTTGCAAGAGCCACTCTCGGGGGGGAGGGGGGCAGGGGTGTCTCTGGGCCAGGGAGCATCCCCCTCCCCCAGGCTGCGTCTGTAGCCTTCAAAGGCTGCTCCTCCTGCCTTGAGTGACGCCCCGTCTCCTCCCCCACCAGGACTCGAAGCGCTTCGGGGCCAACATCCGCCAGGCCATGGTGGACATAGCCGCCCTGATGGACATGCAGCCCAGGCAAAAGGCCCGTTGAGCCGGGGGGGCCTTTGCCCAGAGCCACAAGGAAGCAGCAGCCGCCTTCGGGGAGGCCATGCCGGGCATCGTGGAGCCTGGTGCCAGCCGGCCGGCTGCGTCTCCCGCCCTGCAGAGCTGCACTGTGGGTGCAGCGGGGATTGGCGGGGAGTGGGGGGCAGAGCGGCTGCCCCGTGATGTCCCTCATAAAGGAGGAGCACTTCAGGGACCCCCTTGTGTGAAGCCTCCTGATTTGGCCTGGGGGGATCCTTCTGGTGAAGCTCTTGGGGGGGGGGGGGGGCAGAGGCCCCACTGCCAAGGTCAGCCCGGACCCAGAGGCCTTCCTGGTTGCCTGGGGGCTGCTGTGCTTTCCCTGTGCCCCCCCTCCCTTCCTAAGCGATGGGCATCTCCTCCAGAGGGGCTGGGGGGAGAGGGCATCTTCCTGGACAAGGACAGAAGTTCGGCAGATGCTGTCCCCCCACCCCCCTGATGGAGCGCAGCCTACGAGAAAGTCAAGCGCCCCAAGAGGGCAGCCTTCAACTGCCATGTCAGGGGGGGAGGGGGTTGAGGGTAAGTGGGTAGGATCTCCCCCTGCCCCCTCCCCCGCAAGTGCAGCGGCTGAGTGCCAGATCCTTTGCTCAGAAGCTGTTTATTGGGAGATGCTGGGGAGAGCGAGGCCTTGGTGGGAGGAAGGGGGGGCGGGTAGAGGAGCAGGGGGGGCTCTGGGCCTTGGCCGTGGGAGGTGGAGGCAGATTCAGGGCTGGAGTCCCTGGGGGGCCTGGGTGGGGGCAGCCGCTGCCAAGCTCTTGCAGAGGAAGGGGTTCCGGTCGTAGCAGGAATCGTCGTCCCACAGCATGAACCCTGGAAACAAAAAGGGGGGGGTCAGGTCTGGAAAAAGGGGTTGGGGGTCCCTCGCCCAGCCCAGATGGACCCTTGGCCACCTGTGAGGGGAAGCCTGTCACTACAGGGGGGCATTCTGCAAAGGTCCTGGCACGGTGCCAGCCTTACTCACTTAGCAACTGACAAAGAAGTTTGTCAAACGGGGCAAAACTCATTCAACAGCCGTTTCACTTAGCAACAGACATTTGGGGCTGAACTGTGGTCGGGGTATTGTGCGGTCCCCACTCCTGGTTTTGTGAACTGGGGGAGGGTCTTCAGAGGCCACTTCAATGGGAGTCCTTTTGCCCCACTCCAGTGCAGTTCCTTGGGGCAGGGAGTCCCACTGAGAAGCCCAGGGCATCCTTCCGAGGGAGGGTCTGCCCTGTGGAGATGGGAGCCCCTTCCCCCGCCCTCCGGCCCTCACCGTAAGAGTCATCCATGGTGGCGCAGGCCTTCCAGGAGCGGCGGTAATGCTTTTCCCAGGCGGTGTAGCCCACGGGGCTGCCATCCACCCAGGCCCAGGTTCGGCTCTAAGGGCACAAGTGTTGGAGACTGGTCAGTGGAGGAAGAAGCAGGGGGAGGGGAGGGGGCGCCACAAGCTACCCCCAGTCACTCACGTTGGAGGGGAGGAAGAACCCCAGCCAGACGTCCTCGCGCTCCCACCACTGAGCCTTGGTCAGGAAGTCGGCCACGGTTTGGTGCTCTTCACGGGTCAGGATGGAGGCCAGGTGGCCATTGTGGCTTTGGCAGAAGGCCTGGAGTGGGGGGGAGATTGGCAGAGATGCTGCGGAGGAAGCCGGCTGCCTGCCCTCGAAGTGGTCTCAACCGTGGTCATTTGAGGATGGGTGGACCTCAACTCCCAGAACTCCCCAGCCAGCGGGAGAAGCTGGGTCTCCTTCCCCTGGCATTGCCCCCTCAGCAGCCAGGGTGTGGGCGAGGCCTCCCTCCCCTGCCCTGACTCACCTCCGCCTGCTGCCAGTTCACCTCCTGCTCAAAGTAGCGGTAGCAGTGGCCATTGTAGGAGAGCCAGCTGCCAGGGCAGGGGTCAGCTTGGGCATCTGCAAAAGCAGGACAGGGGTGAGGCCCCGAATGCCCACAGGGAGGCTTTGCTCCCAGGAAGTGGAACTGCAGAACCCATAGGAGGAAGGACCGGGGGAGCCCCCTCCCCTCTTTCAGTTATGGGGAGGGGGGAAGAGGAGACTCACCAGCTGCGAAGGGCACAAGCGCCAGGCAGAGCAGGAGGCCGAGGCTGAAAGGGCCCATCCTCCAATGAGGCTTCCGAGAGCTGCTGCGTAAGGAAAGAGGAGGCGTGAGGGGAGGGGAGAGAAGGGGAGGGGGAGCACGGAAGCCTCCATGCGGGGGGGATGGGACGCCCACCCATCAGGCCTTCCTGCTAGAAAATAGAAAAAGGGACGGTGCTTCTCCTCTGCTCTTGTGAGTCTCCATCTCTTTCCTCCCGCTAACCTTACCTGCCCAGGTGTGACAGCAGCCGATTTCTTTCTGCACTGCCGAAAGTGCTCAAATGCTCCACTGAGGCAATTGATGTAATTCCACACCTTCACAATCTTTTTATTTCCCCACCGCCCCCCACTCTGCTGCCATGGGACCCTGATACACTCGTGCACAGAAACCGTGGCTAAGTTGTGAGGGTTTTGTTTTTCTCCCCGAGGTAAGGAAACTGGGGGGATCAGGGCCGAGGGACTGCAGGGGCAGAAAAACACAGAGGGGCTTGGAGCTTGATTGAAAACCTTTCGTTTTGCTTCAGGGCTTGTAACCTTTCATGGGTTTTCTGTTTTTCTTAATGGAATTATTCAAAGGAAAATATTCAGTATGATATTTAAGAGTAATAAGAGAAGAACCTAGTTGGAAGGGACCTTGGAGGTCTTCTAGTCCAACCCCCTGCTCAGACAGGAAAGCCTGCGCCGTTCCAGGCAAAAGAGGGAGAAGTTTCTACTTGACGGTCCTAAAAATCTCTGGGGAAGAATTTCGGAAGGATAAAACGGCCAGCAAATAAAGTGTATTGGGAATCCTCAACTTGCAACCCCTTCCTGCTTCCTTTTAGCCACGGGATCAAAATTCAGAGACCTGCCGCCTAACTCGTATCTATGGCTGGAATTGTGATCCCCTTTTTGCAACCTTCTGACAAGCAAAGTCAATGGGTTCACTTAACGACCGTGGTAAGAAAGGTCATAAAAGAGTGCAAAAATAACCGAAACCTCGCACTTGTAACCGCCGAAGCGCCTCCAGGATCGAGGCTGTTGTTTCACGACTCGTGCCCAATTTTACAACTCTTTTCCCCCCACAGTTGTTAAGTGAATCGTGTTTGTCAGAAAGCAGAGCTCATGGGACCCAGAGACGGCCCTGGGAAATGCATCGGCCGCCTGCCAAGCTCCCCGCGGGGATGCCTGGACACCAGTGTGAGGACCGGTCATTAGCCAGTTTTTTTCAGTGCCATTGTAACTGGTCACTAGACAAACGGTTGCAAGTTGAGGATTTCTCATGCAGGAATAAGAGCGCAGATAGTTCTCGACTCAACGACCACAATTCAGGCCAAAGTGTTTGTTGCTGAGTGAGACATTTGTTAATTTTGCACCGTTTTCTTGGCCATGGGGGTGAAGTGATACCTCGGCCCTGTAGCCAGAGGGAAGTTTTTGAATCGAGCTCCTCTAACCCGCTCTGAGTTTTTGTGCCCTGATCCTGACAGGTTTGCTTCTCTTGGGGACAGAAGCAAAACGACAGTGTGTCAGTGGCCTCAGGTGAGCATTTGAGCCTCCCCAGCAGTGCAGAAAGAAATCAGCGGCTGCCACACCTGGGCAGGTAGGTTTAGAGTGAAGGGACGAGATGGAGACAGCAGCCCTTTCCCATAATTTGAATGGGGGCAGCAAGAAGGAGGTAAAAAGAGCATTATGTGGCTCTCTCTTAGTGCCATTTCACCATGTCACCAAAGGGCTGTGCGTGTTTTTCATACCAGACTTGGCTTGAAATACTATAAATGCATGTAGGAGCATCGTGAATAGTTTCTGAAAACCGACAGAGCACAAGATCTGTAGCTCAAGAGTTGAGCTGTGGGGTCCTCTCTGAACCCGGGAGGTTTCCTCAGGCGTTTCAGGACTCAACTAGGGAAAAATCATCAGTGCTTGTTGGTAGTGAAATCTCCGCATGAAAGGAAAAGTTGCAGACTGCAGGAACCAGGAGCACCACTCAGGTGGCACAGATCACCTGAGGACACAGAGGAACCTCTAAAACAGTGTTTCTCAACCTTGGCCACTTGAAGATGTCCGGACTTCAACTCCCAGAATTCCCCAGCCAGCGAATGCATCAAACAGGATCAGGGCACTTTGGAACTTTTCTGCTTGCCTTTCATCCCCAGGGAGGCCGGAATAGATTCCCCCACCCCTTTGTTATGAAACTTCTGCTTTTCCTGGTAATTCCCAGGGGTCAACAAGGAATCCAGGACATTCAAACAAGAGGCGTGTCTGGGGGTGTGAGTGCGACACTCCCCGTCCCATAGAAAGGAATGGTATTTCCCATCCCAGAGCCGCACCCCCCTCCCCCCCCAGCGCCACCACGGCTAGACAGATACCCCCTCCCCCCTCCAGACTGGCTGCTGTGAGGTGCGGCTACGTGTCCCTTGTAGCGCCTCCCCCCCCCCCCGGTAAAATTATCCCTAGACGAATCGAGAGGCCAGAGGCGGAGGGCCGGGGCTCCGTTGGCGGCGGAGCGCAGGCGGGAGGCCAGCCCAGTCTAAAGGCCCGCTCTTGGTCGGCTCTGGCTGGAAGACCGGGGCGAGATGGGCGCCAGCATGTGGCGGAGGCGAAGTGGCCCATTCCGGGCCCGAGTTCTCTCCTGCCTTCTCTTGGATCTCTCCGAGGTGCTGAGCTCCAGCCGCGCTAAGCGCAGCTGGAGTTGATTTGGGGCTGGCAAGTAGGGACGCGCCCCTCCTCCCTTCTCCCTCCCTGTGGGCAGAAAGGGCCGGGAACTGGGCCACCGGCGGCTGAAGGGCGCTCAACCCCGAGAGTGCCAGGCGCAGCCTCGAAGAGCCCGATTCCACCGGGGGTCTCGGGAGGGGACCTGCTTTTGCGCCCGCCACGCCTGGTAGAAACCGAGCCTCGCCCTGGCGCCCTCCAGATGCGTCTCCCCGACCTTACTCGCTGGGAGTGTTTGGAGAGGGGGACGGGGGGGGGGCTATGCAGCTGGGAAAGCCACGGAAGAGCCCACCCTCCGCCAGCCGAGCGCGCGGGCCTCTTGGCCAGGCTTGGCCGCCGCGGCTAGTGGGGGCTGCTCCTGGGGGTCTCAGCTGCCCCCTCCCCAAGGCGAGCCTCTGCTGCTTGCCCCGCTGAGCCGGGAAGAGCCTGGCTGCCATGGCCCGGATGCGGGAGGCTTCGTACTGAAACAGCGGGTTCTTCCACTCGCCCCCTGGCTCGACGAGTGGAAGGCGCGATGGGTGGGAAGAGGGCACTCACCGGGGGTCCTGTCGCGCCGGGAGGAGAGGAAGCCCTGAGCAGCCGAAGCGGAGAGAAGAAGAGAGGAGCGGCTTCCCCGGGCTTTATAAGCCGACCTGCCCCGCCCCTGCCCGGCAGCTGTCAGGGCCGCCCCCTCCCCCTCACGGAGAGCTCCGACGGGGTGGCCCCCTCAGCAGCAGTTTGGGATCTCCGCTGCTTATCGGGAGCCCCGTGGCAGGCAGGAAGATGGAAAGGAGGCTGGCTGCAGGCTCAGGACCCCAAAGCCCCCCCCCCCCGAACCTCCATTCCCACATGCACCCCCGGTCCTCCACCTTCCCCCCCCCCGCACGGAGAGGCGGTCTGCTGGCCAAGCCAGCCCGAGGTGGGGTTTTTCAAAACAAGAGAAATCCTCCAGGATAGGCAAGGGTGCAGACAGCACAGAATGTGCCCACTTTAAGGGTGGGGTGAGGTGGGGCTCCCACAAAGGGGAGGATTTCCTGTGTTGGGCCTGAAAAACTGCCCAACAGCCTGAAGTGCTCTTTGGCTCCTCCCAGTGACCGGTGTGAATGGGGCCAAGGCCTGAAGTGGTCTGTCCTACCATGATCCTCCCCATGAGCCTCCTTCCCCGTGGCTCTTCCGGCATCCTTTCTCTGGCTCCACCCTGCCAAACTGGCTCACAGAGGCTCCCAGGGCCCCCAAATCAGCCTCAAAACATTCATGAAGCCAATAGCCGTGCAATGATGATCAATGAAGCCGGACAACTGTTTATGGCAGCTCATCTAAGCAGCTCATCAAAGCCCAGAAGGAAAAATGGGGGGGGGGGGTTGCACAGCAATACTGCAAATGGAACATCTGGGGAAGCATTTCCACAGGGTGGGGATGGCTGTGGAAAAGCTCTCTCTCTCTCTCTCTCTCTCTCTGGGCCCCCAACTTATCCCTTACTCCCTACATAAGATGGTCCCAATCTGGACAAAGCAGAGGAGAAGTTGGCTCTACCTGGAGGAGTTGATGGTCCTGAAGAAAATCTTTTTCCTTTAGCTACTCTTCTATCCAGCTTCTTTGGAGGGTGGGGGCCAATATATCAATATATCAAAGATATATCAAAAACCCTCCATGAAGCTCAGCCCTGAGCCCCAAAGGAGCTCTTTCAAAGGCAGCTGGACTTGATTGTTCCTTGAAGGCCTGTCACTTCTCATCCTAGAAGCTTCTTCAGCTCTGAACTGAAGAAACATCTTCAAGAAGGTCCAGTTGCCTTTTCAAACCGTGACCTGGATGACCAAGAATCTCCATAGACATTTAGCCCTGTGGCTGCTGAGGTCTCCGTGGGAAACCACCACCACCCCCCATTCACCTCTCCGAGGATTTTTGAAGTCCTACAACATCCCGATCTCCTCTTTCACCAGGCGCCTCCTGCTTTAGAGAGGAATTGATGGGCTAATGTTGCTTATCTCGCCTGTCAGCGTGTTCTTAACTGAGCTCAGGTTTTCCGTCTCTGTGCTTCAGAGGAAGAGAGAGGGAAGGTCTCTGCAGTGGAGTCTCTCTCGGGCTTTCCCGCTGTGGCTGCCCTCAAGTCTGCCACCAAAGGCTTGGTGGTTGCAAGAGAAGCCTGAAAGATGAAGGAATGGTGACGGGCCTGAAAATGCCACCAGCACCATCGTTGCTCCCCATCTCCCCCCCCCCCAGTTAGCTGTAGCTTCCTTCCAAACATCAGGATGACGAGTTATCTCCCTTCCCAGTTGTGAGAAGATAACGAACCAATCGGACACTCTCAGCTCTCCAAAATATCAGATGTTGCCGTCTTGTTTTAACCCAGGACGAATCCGGAGAGCCAAAAGCCTCCGGATCACTCAGAACATTCTGCTTAGGAAGCCCAGATGGTTTCTTGCAGCTGGCAGCAAAGGGCCCCTGGCCTTCAGTGCCCAGTCCAGACCAGTCCTTTCTTCCCACCCTGGCCAACCTGGTGCCAGATTAAGTGCCTCCCCCCGCGCCTCCCATTCTCCCTCGACCGGCACGGGGAGGCCAGGAGCATCTGCCACTGCAAACGACATGTAGGCCAGAAGCTTCTCTGGCCCCAGGATCCTCAGTCCGTCTCCATTGTCTCTGGCGGAGGCAGCCCAGATGGTCCTTGTGGGAGCAATTCTATGTCAAGTATTCAGACCTTTAAGCAGTGAAAGCGGCTCTTGTGGCGTCTTCTCCCCTTCCAAAGAGCCGCAATAGGCGAAGGGCCTCCCACGTGCTCTGGACAATGGACAATGGGGAAGCTCTTTTGGACCAATCGCCCCCAAAGTCCCAGGGAGTTTCATGGGGTTGACTTCCAAGGAAGCCTGAGCAAGGGGGCAGCCCTAGAGGAAGCCAAGGCAGCAAAACCTGGCAAGGTTCTTTCTGCAACATCCCTTCGCCCTGGGGCCCCTGGGGCCATTTCCCTGGAGACCCTCACTCAGCCTCCCAAGCGAGGGCATTGCCCCCAGGGTCAAAAGCACACAGCTGCCACCCCACAAGGTAAGTCAAGGACGCAGGATAAAAGGAGGGGCCTTCTCAGGGCGGAAACCCCTCCTTGGGATCCCCACATGAGGCTCGGCCCTCTTGAGGGAAGGGGAAGGAAAGGCGGCTGCCCTTCGAATGGCTTCTCTGGATGAACCCTGGAGACGCTCCGGGACCCTTGATCTCCCCAGGGCTTCGGGGCTCACTCCCACACCCCACAAGCTCTCTTCAGAGGACCCCTCCTCTTCATGCAAAGCGCCCCAGAGCCCCTCTCCAGGGTGGGGGGAGGCAGCTGGAGGGGAGCCAAAATCTCTGCCTTCCTGGCTCTTCCTGACTTGGCCAGCAGGGAGGGAGGGGGCTCTGTGTGCAAGAAAAGGGGGAGGGAGATGCACACACACACACACACACACACACACACACACACACCGTCTTTGGCACCGGGGCCTGCTGGCAGGAGACGCAACCACCCAGGCCTTCAGCTGCCAGCCCTCCCATCGCATGAAACGCCTGCGCTTGGATCCCTGGCAAGAAGAGGAGGGGGAGAGAAGGGGGCCAGGTGGGAGCCTTTGGGAGCCACGTCAGCCGTGCTCCGCTGCGCATCACAATTGCAAGCGTAACTCCCGTTTCCCTTTCCTTTTTCTCTTCCCCTTGTTTTCATTTGTCCGTCTGCATTTCATATTTTCACAAACTAATAAAATTCCCAAACACACAATTGCAAGCGTTCCGTCCCAAGACCCAGTGCTTGGATTTACTTTATTATTGTTCTATTGATGTATTTGCATCCTGCCTCCCTCGGCCTCTTGGGAGGATCCCACCTCCGCTCGCTCCAGAGGTGGGTCTTGCCCTCCCCCCCCCGCTGCCCCCACCCCAGAAAGGCAGAAGGAAGGAGGTCCAATTCTCCGCCCGAGGGAGCTCAGCTCTTCCCAGCTGCAGGAGGGCTTGGCTGCTGAGGGTAAAATCCTTCCAACTCCACATGGCGGGGAGAGGAGCAGGAATGCTGCGCTCGGAGTTGCCAACTCCCCAAACTTGTGCTCAAAACCCAACTCCGGGCCTTATGTAAGCCCCAACCAAGAATGCACAGCACAAACAGACCAGGTTTCATCCAGCCAGAGGCCCTTCTTCTGATGCCATGGTCCCCACCCTTGGCCAGTTTCAGTGGGCGGACTTAAAACGCTGGCTGGGGAATTCTGGGAGTTGAAGTCCAGCCACCTTGGCTGAGGAATACGTGCCGTGTGATCCTGCGAGAGCTGGGTTCTAGGCACGCTGAAGGGTCTGGCTTCAAGATATGCTGCTTGATTTGGCTTTGGAACAGCTGGATTGTCTTTGTGGTTTTAATGTGGGACAAGTTCAGCTAAAGCGATTGATGGATTTCCCCTGCTCTTCCCTCCTCCCTGCTGAGAAGCCAACTCCCTCCCGCTCTGCCTGGGGGGGAGGGCAGGACGCAGTGGGCTGAGGTGGGGTGGGGTGGGTAAGTGGATGTGGGTGCTGGGAACCGCCCGCTTAGCCCCCCTGTCCATATCCAGGCCTTGCTCCGTTCTGTCCAGCTACTGCTGAGGATGGGCATAGCATCTCCTGAGGGAGTCCCAGCCCAGCCTGGCTCACTAGCTGCAGGTTGGGGGGGGAATCCCCTTGTTTGGGTATCAGCAAAGCTTCAAAGGCCTCTGTGGGGCCAGGACTCTCAGCCGGGACCCCTCCTGGGCCTCCACTTACAATCACAATTAAGGGCAACTTCCCCACTGCTGAGCAAGGCGTTTCTTCAGTGAGGTTTGCTCCATCTTCGTGCCACAGTTGTTACATGACCCACCGCGATTGTGACATTAGTAACCTGGTTCTTCAATGTCCCCACTGATTTTGCTGGTCAGGAGGTCACAAAAGGGGCTCCCGTGACACCAGGACACGGTCATAAATACGAGCCAGGTGCCCAGGGTCTGGATTTGGATCACCTGACCACAGGGATGGTGCCACAGCCACGGGGGTGAAAAATGGCCCTCAGTCGCTTTTCGCAGTGCTGTTGTAACTTTGAAAGGTCATTAAATGAACCGTTGTAAGTTGAGGGCAGATCCCAGACAGTCAGGAAACCCAGGAGCAAGAGGAAACATTCCCCCTCCCCCTTCTCCCCCCCCCCCAGCAGCCACATAGGGAGGAGAAGTGGAAAGCCCCCCCCCCCCTCAGGGCTCCTTGAAGTGGAGGGAGGCAGGAGGAGCCTCCAAGGGGAGCCTCCATCTCTGGGGTCCGGGTGGCCCCACGGATGACCTTCCAGAAGGCAACTGGACCGTCTCAGTTTTTTCCTTGAAAACCTTTTGCTTCCCATCCAGGAAGAGCTGAAGAAGCGTCCGAAGAAGGAAAGAAACCAAAAGGCCCAGTTGCCTCCTGGAAAAGCTTCTTTGGGGGAAGCAAGAACAGAAGAAATGGGCTTGGAAGCCAAGTGGCTGGAGGTCCCTGCGGGTGAGGCTCACCCCTCCACCCCTGAGTGCAGCACAAGAGTTCGGATGCTCCGCAGCCTGTTTGTGCCAAAGCGCGGGAGATAAAATGCTCTCCCTCAAAGAGGAGGGGCAGCTTCCCCCAAGCTGATGTGCTCCAGATGTGCTGCTTCGGGATTCTAGGAACTGCACACCAGCCAGCCCAGGGGCACCAGGGGGGGGAAACAGCCCGACATTAACCCCAGGTGAAAGGTGAGGAGACGGGAACAGGGTGGGTGGGTCCTGCCCTTGTTGGAAGGGTTCCTGCCCCCCCCCCCATCCCCATCCCCCAGATGCATCTCCAGTAGCAGAGAGGGGCAGGAGGAGCTGGTTAAAGGGCGATTAGGGGACTGGAGACTAAAACATCTGAAGAATGGTTGCAGGAACTGGGCACAGCCAGTCCAGAGAAAAGAAGGACCAGGGGAGACAGGATAGCAGCCTTCCCATATTTGAGGAGATGCCCCAGAGAAGGAGGGGACAACCTCTTCTCCTGAAGCACCTGAAGGCAGGACAAGGAACAGTGAATGGAAATTAATCAAGGAGAGAACCAAGGATGACAATTGGAGCAATTAACCAGTGGAACAGCTTGCCACTAGAAGTTGTGGGTGCTCCATCACTGGAGGCTTTTAAGAAAAGACTGGACAGCCACTTGTCTGTTATAGTAGAGAGTCTCTTGCTCAAGCGGGGGGGCTGGGCTAGAAGACCTCCAAGGTCCCATCCAGCTCTATTCTGAATCTGAGTTGGTTTCGTGCCAAAGGCCTGGAGGTTTTCAAGGGAAAGCAGGCGGCTCAGCCTGAGACCAGAGAAGGTGGGCAGGGAAATGCTGGACTGCACAACCTGCCTTAGACATAGAAAGGAGAGATGGGGAATTGGGGGGATTTATTCCTGAGGCTCCAGGACTGGCTGCTGAAGAGGCGCCCCTGCTTCCTCCTCCTCCTCCTCCTCCTCCTCCTCCTCCTCCTCCACCCAGGAGGAGGGACGGCCCCGCCTGACCCAGCCTGCCACGTCTGGAGATTCCATCCTGGGGACGGGGAGGAAGGCCAGAAAGAGACGCCTGGAGCAGCTTGTGGGAAGGGCAGGAGACCAGCAGAAGGGCCCTCCAGATGCCTGAACAGAGGGAAGTTGCCAGCGGAAGGCTCTGTTTGGGGGAGAAGCCGCAGGTGCTGCCTGGCCTTCCTGGCCCAGGGGGAGGGTCTGCCCCATCACCAAGAGGGGCCTGGCAGCACCTGGTGCCCCCTCCCAGAACTGCAAGCCAGGAGGGAGCCTGAGAGCCAACACAGCCGGCAGGGGAGGGGTCTGGCTGGGGGAGGGCAGAGGGGGGGAGGCTCCAGGCCAGGCAGGACCACCCAGCTCAGCTGCAAAAGCTGGAGAGCTTTGCAGCGCCAGAGAATTCCCCTCGGGGTCTGCAGAGGGGCCTGTCCCCTTCCTCCAGGTGCCTCCTTGGGCTGCCTGCCGTCACTCCCCCCGAAGAGCCCTGCGGTCGTGCTGCCCCAGCCGGGCTTCCTAGGGAAGGAAGGCTCTGGACTCCATTTGCAGCACTTTTATTCTTTTTATTTCTCTCATTCTTTGAAAAGCCAAGTGGTTACAGGAGATGGAAGCCAGAACTGAGGTTTTGCACACAAAAAACCTTCCCAGTTAACTCTCCCTTTCCTGTCCCACCCGCCCCCCCACCCACCCCGGCCGTCTCCCACTTGTCCAGGGCCCTTCCAAAGGAGGGGCTCTGGCAGCTCTCCCTGTGCTGGAGGGTCTCGAGCGTCGGTTCCGTCTCCCAGGCCCCCTGACCTCGGGATGGGCAGCGATGTCTCGGATGGCACTAAGCTTCCTTAGCTCCTTTCTAGCTGCCCTCAAGGCTCAGCAGGCAGACGCAGGCCCTGGTTCCCACTCTGCCCCCCCCCCAATTGGCTGGACCTTCCTTCGGATGACTGGGGGGGTGGGGTGAAAGGGAGGGGGGACACCCTAACGTTACGGCCGTGGGGACTTTTACAGTCACGGGGAAAGCAGCATCTTGCCCTTCCAGCCACCCTTCCCCAAATTTGGACCCCTTCATCTGTGGGGGTGCCTCGCTCAGCCCCTGCCTCCAAAGCCAGGCCCCGGCCAAGCCCCCTCCTGGCTCCCAAATTCTTTCTTTCTCCCTCATCTTCTGGGGATGCTCAGGACGAAGCCTCGCCACCATCACCCCCACACCCAAAAGCAGACCCTGGAAAGCAGACCCTGGAGGGTGGGATGCCACCTTGGTGGGCACCTGACACCTACTCTGGGCAAGTGAGGGGCCCCTGAGGCTGGGGTGCTGGGTGTGGGACCACGGTCCACTCAGAGGGCTCCCCTCAACAGTTGATGTACCATATCCAGGTGACGGGGAGAGGCTGGTAAGAGTAGGGGGCTATTAGAGCCCCCCTCCGCCTCTTGGCTGTGCTCATATAGCAGTCAGCTGCCCTCGGGTGCATTTCCCTCCCCTCTGGGGGGGGGGGTGTTCTGCTCCAGGGCGCCCCTGGACCCAGGCACCGGGGCGGGGGGCTTTTCGGCGTCGGCCCTCCCCGCCTCCTCTGCAAGCGGGCTCCACTCCTGGGTCGGGTCCAGCCGGCAGCTTTATTTATCCCTTTCGCGCTTTGGCCCCGCCAGTCGCTTCTCGTCCTGCTTGGGCGGCGGCGGCGTGTCCGGGCGGCCGTGCGCCCCAGCCGGGGTCCCGCCCCGGCCCGGCCCGGCCTATTTCCAGCCGGCGGCGGCGAGGCTGCTGAGGCGGCAGAGGGGCTGCAGCCAGGTGGGCGTCTCCTGCTGCCAGAGCCCGTGGGTCCTCCGGTCCATCCAGGGCGCCAGCTCCACGTCCGAATCGGCAGGCCGGGCGTGCAGGCGGCACTTTCGCGGCTCGCTCCTGGGCAGCCGGCCCTTACAGCGGGCGCACACCAGCGGCGGAGGCAGGTCGTAGTACAGGACTGCCGGGCAGAAGGGAGGGCGGTGGGTGGGGCGCCCCCGGGTGGCCGCCTTGTGCCATTGCAGGGCCGCCCCCGCCCTTCTCGCTCCGGCATTCGGGCCAAAAATCTCCCTGCTCCGCCGCCCCCTGGATGCCTGTCGGGCGGTGCTCACCTTTAATGTCGCTGGAGACGCCCGACGTGTCCTCCAGGGTCTGCTGCTGCGTTTGGAAGGAGACTCTGGCGCAGGAGGAGAGGCCGGTCAGGAAGGGACCCTCCGCAAGTCCCCCCCCCCCGCACCTCCGCCCGGCCCAGGTTGTGGCGGATTGCCCCGGGAGCTTTCATGGGGGAGAGGGAGCCTGCGCTGGCGCTTCCTTCGCCAAAGCACGTCCTGGGGGGGGGGGGTTTCCTGACTCTCACCCAGCCCCCCCCATGCCTCCTTCCCAGGATGGCCCACGCCCATGGCCGGCCCTTCTCAGACGGTGGCTCCTCTCCTGGCAAGCGACCCTGCCGTTCCCCCCACCCCCCACCCCAAGCATGTAAATTCAGATGAAAGCAAACTTGGGAATAAGGATAAATAAAAGCCTCCGGTGAATGAAGGGCTGTGCTGTCCGTGGCTGCCCTGTCAAGCCACCCTGGCCCTCAGCCTGAGTGAACCTGCCTTGCAGAGCCCACCTCAGGTCCCCAAATGGTTCACCCAGGTGGCAGAGGAGGAAATGATAAGCAGGCTTCAGCCCCAAAGTAGGAGAGAAGCGGATGCAATTCAGAGGTTTGACCCAAACAGACGGGTGAGAGGGAGGGGAGTGGGGGGTAGGGGGGGAGGGGGGTGGTGGCTGATCTGCCCACTTACCTCCGAGGCTTTTCCTGGATTTGCTTGAGACTTGGGGGGAAGTGGGTGGGGCTACCCGACACCTTCCTGCTCACTCTCTTGGTCACCCCTGTGCTCCTCACCACCGTATCCGAGCGCTGTGGCTGGGGGAGAGGCTGGTATTAGATGGAGACCCCCAAATTCCATGAGCCCAGAGAGGAGCAACCGACGTCCTGCTCCCCCAAAGGCTGCCGCCCCCCCCCCTGCTTCAGCTCCATCCCTGGGAGATGGGAGGAAAGGGAGCAGTGCGGCCCAGGCTTCTTTGCACCATAACTAGCTTCAGCTACAGTGGGTGGGTGGTTTGGTCTTGGCTCAGCAGCTGCCCCGTGAAAGAGATGGGGGACCAGCTGAGGGAGTGGTGCTGTCCAAGGAATAGATCTGTAGCCCAGGTTTGAACTGTGGAAGTCCCGGGTGCTCTCTGAGCTGGGTGGTTTTCTTGCAGACGTTTCATGACCCAACTAGGTAACGTCATCAGTGCTAGAAGGGAGGAAGGTTTCTGGAGAAGAGTGCGGGGGGGGGGGACTGTGGGGGCCTCTCTGAGCTTGGTGGTTTTCTTGCAGACATTTCATGACCCAACAAAGGAACGTCATCAGTGCTTGGAGGAATCAAGAAACTGCCAACTCAGAAAATCAAATGGTAAGCAACTGCCTAATACCAAAAACACTTCCAACAACACCCACAGGATATAAGTGGCATATAAAGCAATCCCCACTCCCTTTTTTAGCACTGATGATGTTACGTACATGGGTTATGAAAAGTCTGCAAAAACCACACCAAGCTCAGAGAGCACCACGGAGACACACACAAACACACAGACACATACGGATTGCTGCTATGCTGGCCAGAGGGGCCTGGATTGGCTGGCCAAGAGAGACTACCCCTTCTGATGATCTCTGAAACCCAAAGCCCGCATGAAGCCAGGGGCAGAAGGGCATCTGACTGGCCTTGAGGCCGTCCTTCTCCTGCCACTGGTTCCTTGAAAGCCACCCACAGCCTGCAGGGATGTTCCCAGAGCGGCTTCTCACGGCAGCCACTGGACCCGGCTGCCCAGCCTCCCCAGGACCAAGCAGCCCTTCAGCAGAGCATTAGTGCCGCTTTCTAAAGCCTCGGTGAGGCCAGGACTGGAATTCCGCATCCAGTTTTGGGTCACCACATTGCAAAAAAGATGTTGAGATTTTGGAAAAAGTGGGAAGAAGAGCAACTAAGATGATGGACGGCCTGGAGGCCAAAGCGTACAGAGAACGGCTGCAGCCCTTGGGGTTGGCCAGCCTAGAGGAAGGAAGGACGAAGGGGGGACGTAACAGCAGCATTCCAGTGTTTGAGGGGTGGCCCCAAAGAAGAGGGGGTCAGTCTCTTCTCCAAAGCACCAGAGGGCAGGACAAAGAGCAATGGATGGGAACTAACCACGTGGAACAGACGTTGGGGAGGGGTCTCCGTCCCTGGAGCTTTTGAAGAAGAGACCGGACAGCCATTGGACTGACATGAGCAGGGGGTTGGACTAGAAGACCTCCAGGGTCCCTCCTGGGGTTGAGGGGCCGCCTACCTCCACCAAGGGCCCGATGCTAGAGACGCTGCTGCTGCGGCTGGAGACCAGGCAGTGGTGGATGGGGATGGCCGGGTCCTTGGTGGTGGTGGAGAGGCCGTTCTGCAGGATGTTGGACAGGCGGCTCCAGAGCCCAAAGACGGCCTCTGGGTGGTCTTGGTGCAGCTGCAGGTAATACACCGTCTTGGTCACCGTCTGGAGACGCAAAATGCGCTGGCTGGCGTTGTGGACAGAGAGCCGGACGTAGCGGAGGGGGAGCAGCCTGGGCAAAGCAAGGGAGGCAGTCAGCTCCAGGAGAGGGGGGGCGGGCGGGGCTGGGAGGTGGGCAAGGGCCCCTGGGGTGGGTCTGGGGGACTCTGGAGAAGGCTTGGCTGGGGACGGAGGCTTTGGCTGCCCTCTTTCAAGCAGGCCCCCCCTGAAACCCTCCCCCCCTCCCCGAATCTCAAAAATCTGCTCCCTGCAGCCGGATCCTTTCCCAGGAAAGGAATAAACCCTGACCCAGGGAACCCTGAGCAAGCATGTCACGCAAGCAGAGCGGATGTCAGGCATCAGCCCCAGAATGGCTCTGCAGCTACAGAGGACTTGGGGTGGCCCAAAACAGGGCTCTGGACAATGTCCACCCCCTCCCAGCCCTTGAGGGCCCCTTCCTCCTTCTCTGGAGGAGCAGCTGGAGGGGAGGATTTGCACAACATTGAGGGGGGGGTCTGTTCACATGATCGCCCTCCTCTTAGGCCAAACTAGCAGGTGGCCGTTTCCGGCTTGGGGTATTGGGGGCGCCCAGTGTCCCCTCAAAGGTTGTGCGAATGGTGCTGCCGCATGACCCACTCAGGAGGTCCCAAGGAATACGGGGTGCTGTGAAGGCCCCCTAGGCCTCTGCCATAAGGCCTCTGCCATCCTGGCCCAGCCCAGGCAGGGACAGGCCCGGCCCAATGCCTCCCTCCTGATCCTGGGCCCACGTCACCTGGTCAGGTCCATTTGCGACAGCTGGGGACTGCCCGCGTGGACCCTCTGGGGTGGGGCCCGTTGGTTCGCCATCAGGAGCACGTTGGGCAGAGGGAGGCAGGGATCCGAGGAGGTCACTGCCAGAGTCACAATGGTGGGTGTGTGGGTGATGCCTATCCATTTCCCCTTCTTTGTGACCTGTGGGAACCGTTCCCCGCCCGCCCGAGACCCCTGGGTTAATTGAAGGGCCAGACCCCTCCTGAGTAATCCAGTCAATCCATTGGCACCAAATCCAGCCGGCCCCTTGATCCCACCAGGTGGCGCAGCGAGTGAGGGTACCCTCCCCGCTCGGCCTTCCCAGAGGTGTGCTCAGCAGGAGGGGCGACCAGCTGCGCCACCCTCTCTGCCCTGAAGGCAGAAGGCTAAGTGGGCATCTTGGGCTCCATACCCACCCAGCCCAGCCCAGCCGGCCTCCTAGGCCTGTTCAGGCGGGACCAGGGAAAGGGGCTCCCTCCGCTACCCACCCAGCCCACAAACCTGAATGAAGTTGCTCTCAAAGACTGCTGAGTTGGGGAAGAGATTGTAATCTGGGGAACGGATCAGCTGGCAGAGCAGCCCCCCCTCCAAGCCGAGTGCCCTGCCAGCGTCTGGGTTGCTGCCAGTGAAGAGCCCACTAGCCATGAGACGTAGGGCAGCTGGGCTCAAGGAGCCAGGCATGCCCAGGCCCTCCCTTAGCTGGCCAGGCAGCAGCAGCCAGCACTGACTCAGCGAGGGGGGGGGGCAGCTGGCTCAGCAGTGCGTGGAACAGGTCAGAGCAGAGCTGTGTGCATCACAGTGGCATTGGGGTGCCACCTGGAAGAAGCTGTGATGTCACACTGGCAGTGGAAGGGCTGGCTCCATCGAGATGGCAGCAGAGCCCAGAGCCCAGCCTGGAGCACTGGGGACTGCCAGCCTGGCATGGATTGGGTTGCCCTTAGAGTTCCCCAAGTGGCAGGGAGGTCCGATGGCTCACCATTCCCCCCCTCCCCATTAACAGGCCCCTAACGCCGTGTGGCGTTTCATCCTGGCATCCACAGACATCCTGGCAGTTTGTAAAGGCTGCGTTTACACAACAGGTTAACCCTCAACTCGGGTCCATAAAAGATAACTTCTGTGCTAAGAAGGCGATCAGGGCCAGGACTTTGTGCCCAGGATGGAAGGGAACACGAGGATCTGGACCAGGGGAGGCCCAGGGAAGTGAGTGCACACCCATGACGCCCTCCCCTCCCTCCCCTCCCCCTCCCCTTGGGTCAGAAAGACGGGAGATGGCTCAGATAGGGAGATGGGGAATTCTGGGAGTTGAAGTCCACAAGTCCTCAATGCGCCAAGGCTGGAGACCCCTGATCTAGACCGACTTTGAGAGACCCTTTCTTCAGCTTCTTCTGGCCAAGAGGGCGAACCCACGGCCTCTGCAGGGAGACCCCTCCCCTCTGGTGTAGGCCTTGCCTACGAGGAGTTTCTTGGTAGATTTGGACAATCACCTATGATTCTTACCTCTGGTCTTCCTCTGGGGAGGGGGAGGGGGAAAGGACTCAGTTATTGACTGTATGTTTCTATGACCCCCCCCCTTCTCAGGGGCTCTGGGGGGCTCTCAGCTAAAATACCCTACAAATCCAGACCTCCAAATAACAACAATCTCAACAGCACCATCATAGATTTAAAAAAAAAAAGCTTAAAAGCTATGTGTCCCCCAGCATTCCTCACACGCCTTCCTAGATGGAAAAAACAGGCCTTAACTTTTGGGGAAAAGCCACAGCTGAGTGACGGAGGATCTCCATAGACCCCACTCCCATGGGTTTCCTCATGGCTTGACCCCAGGGCCAGGCTGCATATCCAGTCTCCCTGTCATGGCCCACTCACAGGCTCCACAGACAAGACGGGGGCCTTAGAAAAAGACACGGGGGAAACTGAAGAGAGAAAGCGTCTCTTTCTCTGTATGGCTGGTCCTCAGTTCACACAGACTCAAATCGCGGCTCCTCTCCTGTCAGATCAGCAGCAAATTTCGTTGTATTTATTTTGTACAATGACAATAAAGAGTATCCTACACTAAAGGGGCAGGCAGGATTGGTCCCTCCGGGCCCAGGCTCAGACGACCCAAGCCCCCCCCCCCATCTTCCAGGGCAGAAGGGTCAAAGTCCCGTGTCAGCAGCCGGAGCAGCCCACCAATGGGACCCTCCCCTCTTCTGGGTGGGGCGGCCCCCTTCCAGCTGCTCTGCAGACGAGCAAGGCCACCCCAGCCTTTTAATGTTATTTATTCAATTTATTTAGCCTCCCACCTCAATCAATGGTTCCAAAATGTTGGGTTTTTAAAAATATTTTAAACACAATCGTGAAAACGAAACCAAGGCACGGGGCCCTTGACCGCTGCTGAGGCCAGGGTTTAAGAGCCTCAGAGAGGCAAACAGGGCTGGGGCCGAGCTTAAGAGGAGGCCTGGCGCCTAGATCCTGCCAGCCTACTCCATTCCCTTCAATCCCCACACTATTCCTGCCCCCTAAATACAGGCACTCCTTGACTTAACAACGGTTTGCTCAGTGGCTATTCGATCAGCAGTGGTGGGATTCACGTTTTTTAACTACCGGTTCTGTGGCAGGGGAGGGAAGCTGCAGAGTCCCCACTCCCTCCCTATCCGCTGGGACTCCAGAGGCAGAGAACAGATGGGGCGGGGCCAGCCAGAGGTGCTTTTGCCGGTTCTCCAAACTACTCAAAATTTCAAATCCCGCTTCTCCAGAACCGGTCAGAACCTGCTGAATACCAACTCTGGTTCAGTGTTACAACAGCACTGAAGAAAGTGACCTCTGGCCATCTTTCACACACGAGACCATTGCCCTGTCGTCATGCGATCAAAATTCAAACACTTGGCGGCTAGCATGCATTGATGAGTCCCGGTGGCGCAGTGGTTAGAGTGCAGCACTGCAGGCTCCTTCTGCTGACTGCTGGCTGGCTGCAATTTGGCAGATCGAATCTCACCAGGCTCCAGGTTGACTCAGCCTTCCGTCCTTCCGAGGTTGGGGGCAGGAGGCCGACTCTGTCAACTGCTTGGAGAGGGCTGGGAAGCACCGCAAAGCAGGATATGAGTCTAAGGGCTGTTGCTATCACAGCTTCAGTGTCCTGGTGGGGGGTGGGGGAGTTGTCAAGTGATCCCCTTTTGGGAGAAGCCAGATTTACTCAACAACCGTATTACTAACTTAACTGCAGTGATTCATTTACTAGCTGTGGCAATACAATGGGGCAAAAATCACTTAACGACTGTCTCGCTTAGCAAAAGAAATGTTGGGCTCAATTGTGGCCATACGTCAAGGAATGCCTGCACCCCAAATCATCTCCCCACCGAAGACGAGCATTGCTGGCCACCAAGGCAGGCGGCCCGGACCTTGAGGGAGGGGGAGGGGAAATAAGGGAAAGGCCTGGAGACCCCAAATCAGCTGCTCCCGGGCCAAAAGTAGACGGTGGCTGCCCCAGCAGCGCAGCCCCCCTGAACAAAGACTCCCTCCTCTAACAATGGGGGTGGGGGGTTCTCTGTGCCCCCTCCAAGGTTTCTGGTCCTTCCTGCCTGGCCTCAACCTCCGGAAGGCAAACCGGAACTCAGGCGGCCATTCATGCTTATCCAGGGGCTTTTTTGGCTGCTCCCCCTCCCCCGGAAGCTGGAATCCGATAAGGGTTGAATTCAATTAAATGGTTAGCTGACTATTTTTCCTCGGGGCGTTTAGAATTATCCATAGTTTCCGCACTTCCCCTTGGCACCAGTTCTTAACCTTCACAAATTGGGATCAGAAGATCTGCTGAAGCCACCCGAAATGACTTCTCTCTGGCCGCCTCCTGAGAACATGGAACCACCAACCGTTTGGGGGCGCAGGGGGGCTCCCTCCTGGGTTGAAATCCAAGCTAAAGGGAGGCTTGCTGAGATATCTGCAGGGGTGTTCATCCCACGGCAGCGTTTCTCCACGAATTTGCCAAAAAGAAAATGCCAGCCGCCAATTGCGTGGCCCACACGAGAGTTTGCTGCTCCACAAGCCACGTTCTGCTTCACCCAAAGTCAAGTCCTGCGTGACTGTTGTGAGAAGCCTGCTCAAGCCTGCCACCTGCTGTAGATCAGCTGCCATCGCAGGTGGGAGGTTCTGTGCTGTGACCGCAGGAAGACCAAGAGTTTTTTTGGGGGGGGAGCTCAGGAGTGGGTCCCTGGCTTCCCCCCTCCTTTGGCCAAGCAGATCTACTGGCCCCCAGGCCCTGAAGGGGGCAGTTCGATTATGGGCGGCCTCTCGTCCGTGCTTGCCTTTGGCAGGGGGTGGGGACTTCAGGAAGCAGCCGGTCTTTTGGCTCTGAGCCTTTTTATTGGACTGTGGGTCCTGGGGAGGACAAAAGTGCCAGACTCTTCTATCCCCCCCTCCACGCCTCTCCCCTCCTCCCTCCCTCTCCCCTCCTCCTCCTGCTTTCTCTTCCTCTCTCTCTTCTCTCGCTCTCACAGACACCCCAAGAGGAGGGGAAGCCATTAGGGGCAGACTTGCTCCGTTCCAGATCAGATGCCGGGAGGGGTAGCAGTCCTGCTCCTTCTCCAGGGCTGCTGGGGAAAGTCTCCCCAAGGGTGGCTGGCCCCCCTCCCCCAGGACTCTGGGCCTGCAGAAGGAAAGCTGCCCTTTGCCTGTAAACCCCCCCCCCCAATCATCACAGGGGCAGAGGGCCTGGTGGCCCTTTTACAGGGGACCCCTCTGGACTGGGCAAGGCAGGGGACAGAGTCCCCAAGGCCTTCAGCGGGAGAAGGAGAAGCAGGGGGCATCCTTGGCCCTCTTCTCGGGGACTTCAGCATCCGCTGCCACCCAGGGATGCCTCCACCCTGAGGCTGCCAAAAGGCCCCTCCTGGCAAGAGAGAAAGTTGGGGAACACCCCCCTCCCCCAGCTGTTTGTTTCTTTGTTTAACAGAAATGTTAGCACATGGCACTCAGCATACAAACATGGCCACAATTATCAATTTAAATAGCAATCTAAAAACAGCCAAAGAAATATGAAACCCCCCCCCATGCCCCAATTTTGAGAGAAGGGTCACTTGACCACCTGCAACCCACCTGCCCGCTTTTTGTGGGGTTCCTGAGGCTGATGAAAAGGATGAAAAGGAACGGAGGGGGCTCCTGTAGGAGGCCAAAGGCGGGAGGAGGGGGGCAGGAGGAGACCCCAGGGGGTTTCTGATCCTGAGGCAGACCGGAGGCTGCTGGCTTTTCCAAGTCTCACAGTCCGCGCATTTAAAAACAAATGTGGGCGCAAGGAAAGCCCCGCAAGGCTCCAGAGCAGCTTTCTGGCCCTTCCTCGCCCCCAAAGCGCAGCTCCCCCAGAAAGCCCGAAGAGCAGCCTGCTCCGATGCCCCGGCCGCCCCATCTGGGCTCCAGGCGCCAGAGCCCCGCTCTGGAGGCTGACCGAGCCAGGCAGGGGAGTCGCGAGAGCGCTGAGTGGGGCGCCCGGGCTCCCCTCCTCCCGCCCCCACGGCCTTGCCGCCGGCGGGAATGCTCGGAGCCCCGGACTCCGCCGGGCTAATACTAGAGGCTGCCTCCCACTGCACCGGACGGCGCCCGCAAACAGGCAGCGGGGTCAAAAGATTTGCTGGGGGGCGGGCAGGAGGGGCGGAGGGGGCGACGGACGGAAGGGGCGTCCGGGCCGACAGAGGAACCGGCGCTTCTCGCTCCCCGCCGGCGAGGCGCTTTGGACCAGGCGGCCACCGGCCTGCCTCGGAGTTGAGCTTACGGGTTGCCCGGGGTTTTCTGGGGGGGCAACGTTATTTCAAGCAACGGGTCAGAGATCCGTCCTGGAGACTTTCGTTGCGGAGCGCAAGCGAAGGAAGCGGAGAAACAGTCCAGCCCCTTCTTCCCCGGGCAGCCCTACAAGCGCGGGGGACCCAGGAGGCCCCACAAACGGCCCGGGTCCTTGGGGGCGAAACGAGGAGCCGGGCGACTCTGCCGGCCTCCTGCTGCCTGCCCGGGAGGCAGGGAGGCAGGGCCGGAAAGGCGACGGGCGACCTTGGTGCCCTGCCGGGAAACGTGGCAAGGGAAAGCGAAAGGGCGCGCGGGGGCGAAATCCCCGGGCTGGAGGCGAGGTTGGCGCGCCTTAGACAGCAGCCGGGCACCTGCCGGGTGGAGGCTGGCTCGGGCATCGAGGAGGCGCTAAGGGCGCGGCCTTGGGACTCTGGGCGGCGTGGAAGGAATAAAGCCTCCGCGGGACGAGGATACTAATCATCATAATCACCGGTCCTATAGCAACCCTTCTCCCGGCTTCAAAATCGGGCGGAGGGGGAGGGGCAGCCCTCCCTAAGTGACCCGAGAGCCCTCGGGGTTTCCAGGCAAGGCAGGAAGGGCCTCCGGTGGGAAAGGAGCGCCCGAGCTCAGGGCAGAGAGGCTTCGCACTTTGTCCATGCTCAGAGGGCTGCCTGTTGTTCGCCCCACCCGGGGCTCGAGAGCCGGTCTGGCGGGTGGCCAGCTGCCGCTAGCCGGACAGAATTGAGCCCGGCAGCCCCTCTCCCTCCGTTGCCGGCCCGGGAGGTGGACCGTGGGGCGGGGCGGGGTGGGGCCGGGTGGCGTGGAAACCCTCCGGGACGCTCCCGCCCAACGCCATGCCTGTCGGAGCGCGTCTCCCGCCGCCGCCGCCGCCTGGGCTGCCCGGAGCCGTCGAGGGGGCCGTGGCCATGGACGGGCAGGCGGCGATGGCGTCCTACGACTACAGCCTGATCGTGGGCCCCCTGCAAGAACCAGCCAGCCCCAGGACGCCGAGCCTCGACTCCGCCGGCTGTGCGCCTTTCCACACCGGGCACCGGACCGCGGCGCAGCGCTACAACGCCCGGCTCTGTCAGGCCGGTCTGGAACCCGAGAGGTGAGCGCAACCGAGCGACAGCGGGCGGCCCTCCGGGGCCCCTCCAGGGCCCGTGGCTTCCGGAGCGAGGGGCGATGGGTGCGCGTCGGGCCTCGCGGGGGTTCTGCGCCGTCCGAGGCTTCCAAGCAGGGAGGGCAAGAAGGGCGCTGGAAGCAACGGGAGCCTCTCAGCCAGCCCTACAGGGAAGGCTGAAGGCTCGAACCCGCCGGCTCTCCCTGGCAGCCCTGGCATCGATGCCCGGTGAGCCCTGGGAAAATGGGTTGCCTTTGCCGGAGCGGATCTCTTGGGCATCCGCTGGGCCGAGGATTTAGAAAGCATATTATAATCTTCCCCGTATTTTCCTTGGATGGATGGATCCTGCCGCTTGGAGAGCAGCCGGTCTCTCAATGCCAGCTGCTGGGAAACCCGGAGTGAGTGGCTGCTGTCTCCCCTCCCCCCTCCAGCCCTTTCTGAGGGAATCCCTTCTTGGGGAGCAGAGGAGACTCCCCCCCCCCTTTGCAGCTCTTGTTGTGAAGGAGGTCAGAATTCGTCCCCCTCCCCAAAGGCTCAGCACTGAGTCCAAGCAAGGGGGGGGACGACACACGCAGGCAGGAACCCTGTTTGACCATCCAGCCCAACAGTGTGTGATGCTGTGCTTCCCCTGAGATTTACGGAGAGGGCTTTGTTAGGTACATGGATCCAGGAGAGACTAGCTGTTCTCTGGGTGCCTCTCTCTCTCTCTGCATTTCAGGAGCTTCAGGTAAGAGGGGAGGCACCCTCCCCCCCCACCTTAAATTCCGCTCTCTTCTGTCATTGTTGAGTGGAGATTTGGCTCTCCTGAGCAGCCGCGGCAGTTCCTCCCCCAGCTCCCTGCTGCAGGCAGGTGTCCTTGGCACAGCTGATCCTGATGTGGGGCTGCTAGCCTGGCCCCTCATGGGTGGCCCAGAAATCGGGCAGACTAGCGAGGAAGAGGCAGAGCAGCCCCCCCCCCTGCCTTGTGTGTGTGTGTGTGTGTGTTTGTTTCATGGACTGCACCTGGTCTCCTTGGAGGGAAGCACCTGGCTGGGGAACCACAAAGGGAGTCAGAGGAATCACAGAGGCCAAAGGAATCTCCCACCTCAAGCCCACCCACCCATCTCAAAGGGCCTCTTTGCCCGCTGCCCATCGGGTGGGATAGCATGTGCCCGTGGGAGTTCCCCCACCCACCCTCCCACCCACCCTTTGGGAATCTCTGCACCAAGCCTCTCATCAACCTGCACGGTGGCTCAGCTGCAGGAAGGTTTGGGGTGCAAAAACCAGGGATGGGGGGGGGGGAATCAAGGTGGGTTCAGACGAGATGCGAGTCCAGGCAGAAATAGGACTGGTAGTTTATGTCAAGATAGGTTTGGCTTGGCGGGTTACCCTTCGTCAGCTGGTTGTAGGATTAACTACGTTGTGTGAGCCCAGCCACAGTGGGGGCAAGAGGGCTTGAAACTCGGGGCCACCCACAGGCAGGGTCTTCCCTTCAAGGCAGCCCACTTGGGAGCCCCCTCCTTGCAGCTCCGTGGACCAGGAGCAGCCCACTAGCACCCAAACCACACCGTGGACTGTCCCCCTGCCTGCTGTGCCAAGGAGCGTGGCCTGCCGTGAACCCTTTGGACGGGCAGGGTCAAACTCCCGGCCATCAGTAAACCTTGGCAGGGGTTGTTTGTGCCAGCCGCTGGGCTCCCGTGTCCTTCCCGGCTGGACGGAGCGCCAGGCAAACAAACCCCTCGGCACAAACTCCAGGCGTCGTGTTGTTGTTTTTGTAAGCTGCCGAGAGTCCATCCGAGTGGGCAGCAGCAGCAGCAGCCACGGGCCGTCTGGGTCAGCAGGCCTGCAGGAACCCATTGGGGAGATGCCCCCTTTCTCTGCCGCCCTGTGGAGGCTGAATTGGGGGTGAATGGAAAACAGAGAAAACATTGCCAGTATTTGAATAAGGTCTGAAACTTTGCTCCCCTTGAAAATCAGCCCAAGAGCAAGTCGGCAGGATTCCACTCTCAGGCCAGGTGGGGGGAACCTTGGGAGTTAATCCTAGGACAGGGGTCTCCTTTAAGGCCTGTGGACTTCAACTCCCAGAATTCCCAGCTGTGCCGAGTTTGGAGACCCCCTGCCCTAGACAGGCAGGCAGCAATCCTTAAATGTCAAAGACTTTGGTTTCAAAGAGCTGGTTCGATGAACATTTTTTTT